GCACATAGCGTGCAGTGAAGACTCCGAAAATCCATTTTTCCCTTTTGGGATTCTCTCTTGCCTTGAATAAATGATTGGAAAATATCGTGTCCCTTCTTAGTATTTTTAGGCCGACGTTTGTCAGGGCCACGCTGGCTTCCCTGTGTCTTGGGAGTGGAAAGGCAAATTCTCTGCAGGGCGTGTAACCAGCCAGAATGAACCACTTCGAAACCCTGCCAGGCAGACAGCACTGGCCTGAGAGAGCATCCTCTGTGCAGGTTACCAGCCCCCTAGTTTCCACTGCTACCCACGCCCACCGCCTCTGTCCCCCCAGCTCAGGTTCGGTTCTTCTCGGTTTTCCTCTGCTGTGGAAGCCACACGCGATTAGATCCGAGCCTGCTGTGTCAAGGTCTCTCACTGTGACCTCCTGCCAGGTGTGGCGTCTCCCCTCCGCATCCCAACACCTCACCCCACGCCTTTCCCGTGGGAGCTTGTGACTGGGCCCCCCAGGCTGTGTGGTGGCGCTCTGGACGGTTCACAGGGCAGCAGCTTGTTCGAACCCAGACGCTTGGGTTCTGCTCGCAAACCCCACTGACGCCGAGTCGCCGGCTCCTGGCCATTCCACATAGGACGTCCAGAGTCGGGGCACGCAGCCTCGTCGTTCTCCTGAGCAGCAGCTGGTGAATGGAAGGGGTGACTTTGTGATTAGCTTACGAGAAGGACCCCACCCAGATCTACTAAAACAGAATCTGCACTGGAACCGACACCTCGGGGTGAACTCCAAAAAATAAGCCCAGCCTCCCTGAACTGACTGCCAGCGAGTCGATTCCCACGTATCGTGACCCTGGAGGACAGAGTACGCCTGCCCCAGGGGTTTCTGTGGCTGTCACTCTTTAGCAGCAAGCAGAACAGCTGGTGGGCTCATCGCAATCCAATGCTTAACCCGCTATGCCACCAGGGCTCCTCGGGGTGGCAGGTGGTTTTGAACTGCTGGACTTTGGGGAGGAGAATCCAAACGGAAGGCGAGGGGACGGGCTCCCCTCTCCAGGGCACTTTATGCCATTGTCATGTAGAGATTGTAGTTCCATCTGAGACCCCCCTCGAGGGCCATCTGCTCAGGGTGTGTGACCTGTGACCATTTGTGCTTGGCCAGGAAAGGAGAGCTTCCGCGAACAGGGCCACCTCATCTGGCTGCACGGCATCCGGCTGACACAGGCCACGCGCCAGGCACCTGCACGAGGAGCTGGGGCGCGCAGGCTTCCCGGAGCTAGCGGGTGAGTGCGTTTTGCAGGGCCTTCCATGGGATGCCTCTCCTTGTTGTTCGCTGTGGCTCACGCAGAGTCCGAGACCATGGAAAGGGTGGATGAGATGCCAGCTGGTTCCTTAGTGAATGCCCACAAAACTGGCCACGGGCAGTTCAGAGTTGTGTCCCCCACCCCCAGCCCCCACCCCACCCCACGCCTGGGCATTTGGAGAAGTATAGGAGTAGTTTTGTAAATATGTGTTTCTTGGAGGCCGGGGTGGGGAGTGTTCAGCCCACAGGCCATAGAAGGCAGGTTGGAACCAAGAGTACCAAAGAGAAGCAGTGCCAGCCACCACGTTGTTGTT